AAAAAAAAAAAAAAAAGACAGAATAATAAAACTGATTTTCTCCAAGAAGGGACAGAAAACAATAAAATGATTTGTTGGTGTGCTCCTATCAGATCTCAGGAGAGCTTCAAGTTTTTCTCAACAGTTGTAACACACATCTTTGCCTGATTTTAAAATCTTTTGTCCAAAAATTCTGTCTTCCCTTCCACCATTCACTGCTATGCACATATTAAACAACTTAAGGAAACAAACTAAAACTTTTGTGGTAAAGGAGGTCCATCCAAGACATTTAAATACATATATAAAAGTATTTATGTATATATACTTACATATACCCAGGTGGAAATATGATTTGCTGTCAAAATCAGAAGTGACCAAAAGTGATGGAATTTAGGGAAGGATAAATATAACTAGCAAAGGACAGATGCCAGCGCTGTTATAACCATAAGCACCAGGTTATAAGCAACCAAACATCACAACTGAAAGAGTTCAGCAAGTCCCTTCTAGAAGACAATGAAGAAAATGACTTGCTTAGAGTCAAGGATTTATATTCGCAAAGAGTGATTAATAACCTGGGCTATGTGGATAATCACTTTGTTAATTTAATTTTGGAAATGTTGAGATTAAATTTATGAGAAAATGGGATATGGTGAGATATGTGGCTGGGGAAGAATTTCTCTGTAAACTGCCTTGGTGTTCAATGCAGGAAAGGGAAAATATTCTAACTCTCCCAGGGCTCAGCAGTAGAAAATAGTTACTAAGAGGGCATTCTGAGTCACAATGCCTGCCTGGCTTATGATCTATGTCTGCTACTAAATACAGGGCTATTTACTTACACCTTCCCGGGCCCTAATTTCCTTACTAGAAAAGGTTGCTATGAGAATGAACAAGTATTTACCTAAAGTACTTGAAATGACCAGTTAACGGTAAAAATACACCAAGTATTAGATACTCTGCTTAGAATTATGAGGGTGACTTTAAATGGGTGAGTACTCATTTTAAGATATCAAAGAAAAAGGAAAGAATTTCATGCCATAGATTAACATCTCAGATTCAGGGAAATCAAAAATTTGAAGTGTTCCTTGCAGTGGTCACTAAATTTTGTTTTTGTTTCTTTTTGTTAATACCTTGCCAAGAGTGTTTCTCAATATTCTGGTTGAGGTTAGGTATTTATATCTTACCAGGAAATGTTTTTGCTGAAATACAAAGTCAACTTGGTCATGGAATACAAACCATTGTCACACGAGGGAAAGCAAACCTCAGAATTTCAAGTTAACAAAATGAAAAATAAAGCATTTGTGACCTTAGCCAACACCCTCTCTTATACACTCCATACTTTCACCTTAGTCAGGCGAGTTTGTCAGGTCTGCAGTTCTAGTGATGCCTATTTAGGGCCAGTACACACAGGACTACAGGTTACCCAAAGGATTAAATGCAGGAAAAAAGGAACATGTGGCCCTCCCTGGTGGCGCAGTGGGTTAAAGCACAGCACTGAGAAGCTAAAGCCACTTCCGCATGAGTTCAAGCCCTGCCTGCCCCGGAGGTAACCTCATGGCCCGGCAGACCTCTCCTGACCCACCTGCTGCTCCCCTCAGCAGTGTACTTCGTCAATCTGCCTGTTCTGTTCCCCACTCTGTCCCTGGTAAATCCTCTCACCCTCCGCACCTCTGGCCTTCACCCCAGTTCTGTATGAATAAATAAATAAATCTTAAAAAAACAAACAAAAAACAAAAAACAAAAAAAGGAATATGTATTGATGTACTTAACCTTAACTTCCTTAGGGAGAGAGCTCTACAACTTTCTAGGAACCGTGGGCATGTACACCAGTACATGATCAAGTGATGAAACCTGCAGGAACTTAAGAGTCAGCCCTGTGTGTGACTGAACTACTATTTCCACTAGCACAGTGACAGTCTCAGCACTACTGCTTTGGTTCTCTGTCAATCCCTATGACAGTTACCCTGTGGCTTCAGTATGAGGCAGGTAACTTGAGTGCAGACCAACAATTCTACACTGTGACAGTCCCCATTCCTAGACTACAGCAGCAGCTGGTTCTCATCTTAATGGATACACTGTTGTTTTCATTACTGTCAGAGTGCCAATTATCCACAACTCTACTTCAGACCTACCACTGCTACTTTCCCCCTTTTTCCAATCTGTTTCATACCCCTCTATGCTTTCACCTAGTTACTGTCTTTGTGTGATAAGGCAAGCCTTCCTTGAATATCAAATAGTCTCTATCATCCACTCAGACTCCTCTCCTATCTTATGGGGCACATATGCTTATCAGGTCCTGAGGGCTGGTTGTCAGGCACCTGGGATGGCTCACTAGTGACCAAGAGCATGGGAATAAAAATCAGAGAATCTCAGTCAACATTCTGCCGCTTAATAGCTGTGTTACTTTGGATACTTACACACCTTACAGTCTTCTTATACACTCTTTCTTAGAACTCCAATGAGGAGGAAATGTGTGCTGACACTAAAGGGTAAATCAAATTTCAACTCCTAGGAATGAAGAAGCTGTTCCAGAAGACTGAGTATACTTAAAGTTCAACCCAAAGAAGCTCTCCAAAACAAGAATATTTCTTCCATGAGCCATATTTAAGTGTGCCTCTTCAACTTAAGAAATTTATAACTTCTTAATGTCACCTGAATCAGATGTATCAAAAATAGTATTTATCATTCCTTTTATTCTCATAAAACAAAAATATGGACTACTTTTAAATCACCCATAATCCTACCATCAAAGAAAAAACATTCATAACACATACAAAGTCTTCTAGGCTTTTTTCTGATTAATATTTTAAAAACACAGGTAAGATTATATATTTACATTTATGTATATATTAGCAACTAATGTATTATAATTAGTCTTACACAAACATTTCCCCATTATTCCAATTTTTTAAAAATTTATTTCAAGGTAATTTACATATGTACATCATGAAGACCAAAAGAATGTTTTATCTCAAACTTTATTTTAGAATTCCAGAAGTGAATGCTTATAGGAAAGGGAATTTTATGTATTGATAATATTAGTTAATGAATAAATGTAAGATGGTAGAAAAAGATGACTGTATATAACTAAATTTAACACATACTGTAAGTAAAAGGATTATATCAAAGCCAATTTTTTCTCTCAAGTGACTTTTTTTTAAATCATAGGGGGCTAACAAATGGAAACCACAAATAAGTCTCAGACTAATTACTTGATTAGCGTTATTGCCTTTATTCAAACCTGAAATAGGCAATGAAATGCTATAATCTATGAAAAAACAACAAAAGTTCAGGTTCTATAAAATGGTAACCTACTTTATATTCATGGGTCACTATATAACAAATAGGACCTTTATTGAAAAATATGAAAATACTGATCATCCCGGTTTCTCTGAAACTTTAAGAACTCCACAAATATGGGTGCTAAATTCATTTTAATATGAATAAAGGCAAAAGAACAAGGTCTTTTAATATACTAGCACTACAAACAAAACAGATTCTTAAAAAACTATTATTGTTCTGTGCCCTAGAGATTAGACTATCAAACTTAGGAGAATATGCAAAAACAATTTTACACACTAGAGATAAAAACAGTAAGTGAAGGATTTCAACAATCAAAGCATGTAAGAAACACAAATGTAAATTAACATGAAAAGACAGCCAACTTTAGTAATAAGGAAGCACAAACTGAAACAAGGGAACTACTCTGTATATCAAATTTCAAAAATTTCTAAGAGAGGGCCCTCCCTGGTGGCGCAGCGGGTTAAAGCACTGCACTAAGAAGCTGAAGCCACTTCCGCATGAGTTCGATCCCCGCCTGCCCCGGAGGAGATCCACTTGGCGTGGCAGACCTCTCCTGACCCGCCCGCTGCTCCCCTCAGCAGTGTACTGCATTGATCTGCCTTTCCTGCTCCCCACTCTGTCTCTGGTGAATCCTCTCACCCTCCAAATCTCTGGCCTGTACCCCAGATCTGTGTAAATGAATAAATAAATCTTTAAAAAAAAAAAAAATTTGTAAGAGAAAAATATGGGGAAATGAATACCATCAAACTTTCTTAATAGGCAATCTGAAAGTAGTATACAATTTTAAAATGAGAAATGTCCTTGCAGCAATACTACCATAAATTTCTTCTAAAGAAATAGAAACTAAGGCATAAGATTTATATACAATCATATTCACAAAATTATTACTTGTAAAAGTAAAAAATTAGAAATACCTAAAATATGTAAATTTACATAGTTTAAAGAACACTAAGAATACTAAGAAAATTTACTCAGTTTTAAAAACAATGATACAGGTATTAAATAGTAGCATGAAAAATGTCCACAATATCTTGCAGCATTTGAAAAAAAAAAAAGCAAATTGCAAAACGCATGGTTGGTATGATCCTGTTTGCTATTAAAAAAACAAAATCATATAAGGAATAAATCATTTTTATCAATCATACACATAGAAAATAATCTGGGAGAATAAACTCTACAGCGAGAGCAGAGGTCAAGTTTTTATTTCGCAATCTGATTTTTTTTTAAGCAAACAATACAATAAAGGCAGGGAAAGTCTCAAAACATTAAAATACAATACACCGTTAGACTGAAATTCAAATATCTGAGCATACCTATAGTCAGGTAGTTAGTGTGTTTATTAAATTGGCTAGTTATAATTATAATTATTTAATATAGTGATTAAGTATTAAGTTTTATTTATTAATATTAGTTCTAGCTATGCTGCTTTGTATATGCTCATGTTTCATAGCTATAGGTTCACTTTCTGCAAATGCACATACTCTTAAAAGGTGTCTTCCACCAAAGCACCAAAAGTCCTCCACCTTAGTCCAGTGAGTCCCTTCCCCTCTGCCTGCTTACCTTTTTAGATGATAAATTTTGTGTGTATACTGTCCCTTTTCACCATCCTTTTCATAAGGTTCATTTTTCAAGACTTCAATTCCTTCTCCACCACCAGTCTCATTCTTACTAGCTTCTGCAACAGAGTAAAGCTGCCCAACCTGATACTGAAATTTCAAAGAGTACAGAATTTCACTAAGTCAGCTGTGACTACAAAAACTTCCAGTAGCAAAACTTTATTATAGAGAATACAGAAAAACATATCTAAACCATTCAGCGCATATGTTCTATATGAAAAATGACTTCTAGTAAAAATTAATACAGAGAAAGACAAACACTGTGACAATACAACTGTAAGAAACTGTAATATTTTACAAGATTTTTATATTACGAAAACAACTGTTACAAATACCGTGGGACTTCAAAAAGCACTATCCACTTACCAAGAAAACTTAATGATACTGGCTTCAACCTATTGAATAATAAATGTATTTGCATTTTTCCCCAAAGCATTTCCATATCTATTATAGCTCACAGATTTCACAAAACTCTGAGGAAGGCCTGGAAGGAATATAATTGTCACTTTGCCAATTAAGAAAGCTGAAGAACCAGAAGAGTGTTTTCAGTGAAGTGAAAAGATACACAAAGTAGTAAGAAAAGCCTGAAAATACAAAGAAATATTAAGTCCAAACTTTAGTAGACTTCTGGAGTTGTCTTTTCCCATAACTTAAGTATGACATAACCAATTTGGTCCTTGCCACCTAAACAGAAAAAGCACTGGGTATTTAGGATCAGAACTGCTATTTTGAAGTTCTCTAGAGAACAGACATTATTCTTAAAATATCACAAACAAGTGCTACTGTGAAAGGCAAGAAATTGCTAACAGTGATTTCTATTTCATTTTGAAGTGAACCAGAATTCTCAATGGTCTATACCAATAACTTGTGAGTGGGTAGTATTGTTCTGTGCCAATCTGGAGTCACTAACAATTCCAACAAATGATTAACGGAAATTTTTGGATTCTGATTTGTTTCACTGACTCAACCAAGCACTATTTCCAATCTCTTCAAATCTGGCTAAATTTCTTCTTCCCAATGAAGCCTGAGGAAGTATTTTTCTTTCAAAGTTTCAAAGCTCTATTTTTAAACATTAATAAATCAAAACTAACACCTTACTTGAGGGACAAAAAATTAGGGAAATTGTAAGCTTATTAAGTATTCTTCTCTAAAAAGCCAATGGGAGTATGATAGTATCTTATACCTTTAAACACAATCTCTCTCTCTCTCTCTCTCTCTCTCTCTCTCTCTCTCTCTCTCTCTCACACTCACACACACACACACACACACACACAGAGAGAGAGAGAGAGAGAAGGGTTTAGGAAGCTGAGAACAAATACATTTCTTAAGTACATCAAAAGTAAGTTTCTGTAGAGGACTAGTATTTCTTTGGTTTTCATCAGACAACACATCAGGGTTACTTAAATAACACTATAATCCTTAAATTCTTCAAAATGTAATTTTGAATTCCTGTAATGCTGTACTGTAAAAGACAGGGTTAAAATGAAAATGTCTTTAAATTGAAAGGTAAATATGACTTTGGTCAGCAACAAAGTAACAAAAATTTATACAGAAACAAATATGCAAAAAAATTAATGGACTGATTTTGTGACACACAACTATACCTTTGCTTATTGTTATTTTAAAGAATACCTTAGAGAACAGAAGGTACATGTTTGTTGAGTATAACAAAAAGGTGAGTTATTTTGGGTGACAATACCAAATTCGAAGATTTCTATAAGTTGATTCAATTACCTCAACCCAAAGGAAAAATTTAACAAAAACAAATGTCAATTTCCAAATTCAAGTTCAATCAATCAAGTGACTGACTGATATAGGAAAAGTAAAAAGGGGTGCCTTGCTTGTTTTAACACAGTGAAACCTGAACACACTACTGATACACACACACGCACACACAGGTGTGTTCATATTAAACAGTACCAAACAGTTACTCTATTTCAGGTCATGAATTTTCTTTTCTTTTTCTTTCTGTTTTCTGACAGCTGTCACTTCTTAGATGATCAGTTTCCTTTGCCTCACTTCCAACTTACTGGTTCTGTCTGATTCACTGTCAGTTGTACGAAAACTAGAAAACTGAGCAAGGTCAAACTGTATAAAAGTTACAGAAGGACCCCAGAGGTCTTTTGGGATTTTACTACATATATCTTGATTTCTTAGGAGACTTCTCTGATTTTATCCTTATTCTTGGCTACAGCTACAACTGCAGAATGTATAAGCTATAAATTTATGATGTATTTCTATATTGTGCAGCTCAAGGGAGACAGACTCTCACTGTTAAGTGTCAGGAGTACTGGTTTCAGCTGAGAACAATACAACACATGGGATAGTGAGGCCAGCTGGCGAAGAAGTCTAGAGGTCATGTTATATAAGGCCAAATGAACCAATGATATATGTTGAGAATTTTTAACCTGTGACCTCAAGTAAAGATCAAACAAAAGGGCTGGGGGAGGGGAACTGCCATCTGAAAATCTGAAGAATTATCATATACAAGACAGAGCAAGTTTATTTCCTTTGCTCAAGTGGAAAATGTAAACAATCATCAAACATTATAGGAAATTAAATTCTGGTTTAAAGACAAGGTTTAAAATATTCAATAATAAAACAGAAAACCCTGTCTCTAAGCAGCAAGGTTACTAATCTTAAGGTACTCAAGTTGAGACTAGAATCTCATCTTTGGGATAGTGTAGGAAAAACTCCTATTGTATGGGAGGTTATACTTCATTCTTTAGATCCTTCCAAAAGAAGGAACTGTGACAGAAATTAATTTACAATTAATTATTTATAACACTCAATTTATTTTTTTACATAAATTGGAAAGTAAACATAAATGAAAGTAAACAAAATGAGTTTAATATATCAAATGTTTGACATAAAAAATACAAAATCATAAAAAAAAAACCTACAATACAATAATACAGAAGCAAGCAAGACTTACCTCCTGAACAGAACATGGCAAAACCACACGACTAAAAAGACAAAAAGAAAAAGAATATAGTTACATGTGAAATAGTTGGCTTTAAAACAAAGAACTCTACATTTAATAGAACTTTTCCTTTGAATGTGATGATACCACAATACTTGGATGCCATTTATAAAAGAAGGCCTTTACATGTCTAGAGCTCCAAATAAGGATTTTAAACTGGGACTATTCTTGACTTCCAATGATCATTAGAGTTTAACTCTTTATTGTATAGAAACTACAAAAATTCAGCTGCAGAGATTCTTGTGAGATATAAAGAATAAAAGAAACTAGCACTGAAAACTGTAGGCTATCAATACAATATTTTTAGTCTGGTCTAGCTGCCCTCATGAAAATTTTTTTTTTTAAAGACTTATTTATTTATTCATACAGAACTGGGGTACAGGCCAGAGATGCGGAGGGTGAGAGGATTCACCAGAGACAGAGTGGGGAGCAGAACAGGCAGATGGACGAAGTACACTGCTGAGGGGAGCAGCGGGCGGGCCAGGAGAGGTCTGCCGCGCCATGTGGATCTCCTCCGGGGCAGGCGGGGATCGAACTCATGCGGAAGTGGCTTAAGCTTCTTAGTGCAGTGTTTTAACCCGCTGCGCCACCAGGGAGGGCCGTGAAATTTTTAGTATGGTTTCATTCTCCAACTATATGGTTTTTAATAATACTTCTCACAGAATACGTCTTGACTCTCAATAAACACTTGTAAAAATTGTTCCCAACCACCCAATTATTCCTTAATTTTATTAAGTGAAATTAAAGGTCCCTTACAAGACTTAATAAGAAAAAATTTATGAAAAAAATACTTTAAACCTTATAAATGTAAACCCTTCCCAGGTATATTAAATATATGGCTGATATATGTTTGATTGTGTCCAAGAGAGTTTTTTACTGTAAATATAAAAGAACTCATGTGAAGGACCAATGCTTCTGAAGATGAATTCCAAAGTAAGAATATCAGTTACATCACAGAATTTTATAGGGAATTCTCTTTACAGATTTGTACCATTAACTCTGAAAATCAAGACACCCTGAGTATCAACGGCCTCATAGTAACTGCTCTCCAACACAGCAACCCCTTTTTTGATCTGGCCCCACTAAACTACCTCAACAGAATCATATAAAATTTTATTTTAACTCTATTATCAGAAAAAAAAAATCTGTGTTAACCTCTATTATAATTTTTTCAGAAAATTTCCAATAGTTTTCTTCATTCCATCGTCTCTTCAACTCCATTTCCCACCCACTACTCTCCTCCTCCAGAATCTATGAATGTTCATATGCAGCCTTCCTCTCCAACATGTATAAAGTCAAACTAACTTTTGACAGTGATCATAATATAGTATATACAGATGTGACAGCATAATGCTGTACATATGAAACATACGTAACATTATAAACTAATATTATTGCAATAAAATGTTTAAGAAACAATATGTCCTCCTCCTTGGCTCTCAAAGCTACAGTGATCACTAATTTCTATTCTTATCAAGAATTAACTTGTTATATAAAGTCCTTCCCTACCTAATCACCTAAAGTTGCCTCCTCAAAGTACACACTAACTTGCTCACCATTCAGTAACTGGGGAGGGAGGGTGAGAGGAAAAGTATGTGACACATACTTTTATGTATAGGTTGGGAGCATATCTTGAAAAAGATAATAGTCCAAGATTTAGGTTAGGAACATGTTTTCAGGGTCTTAAATGTTATCAAATTCAACAGGCAATGAAGAATTATGGAAGGTTGTCCCAAAAGCTAAGTGACATGACTATAGTTAACTTGAGAAGTCATCTGTGGTAGTTAAAAACATTGAGAAGCAGGTTTATGGGGAAGTCATCTTTTGGAGGTTTACAAACATCAGAGTCAAGATGATGCACAACAGAGGGAGTAAAAAGGAGGAGTACAGAGTAAAGTTAAAGACTTCCCTGAAGTTTCACAAAAACAAAAAAATCCATGCTGTGTAATTTGAACAACTGCTCATTAGCAGGAAGATGCTATTTTTATATAACACTTTCAAGGAATTCATTTTACAAAATTAAAAGTGACAGTTAAATACATGATGAATGAATGAGTCAAGTAGCGTCAATTTTGCTTAATAAAACAAAAAAGAAGGAATAGGCAGGCTTTGGTTTTCTGTTATTATTTTTAAAGTCATACTTAACCATTCACAGCACTTTGAAAAATATGTGAAAATTCTCACAAAAATAATTTTCCAAATGGAACTACCAAATAATTCTTTAAAACCAGGAGCTGGGACCTTCCTGGTGGCTCAAGGGGTAAAGACAGCACTATGAAGCTATCCTCAGTCACTGCAGCACATGTCTGATCTCCAACTGACCAGGGAGATCATGGTGCAGACATCTCCTGTCTCCCCCGCTGCTCCCCTCAGCAGTGTATTCAGATCTGCCTGTTCTGCTTCCTGCTGTGTCTCTGGTGAATCCTCTCACCCCCCACCTCTGGCTTACTCCCCAGCTCTTGTATACATAAATAAATCTTAAAACAAAACAAAAAAAAAACAGGACTTCACACTAGGAAAAATTTCATGTATAGCTTGAGTAAAACTTGAAAGGAACTCTCCACCCTGTAAAGTAATTTCTAACTTGTTAGTTCATGTCAAAAATAAAAATAGACGGTATTTTTTAAGACAGAAATACTCGTGAAAATATTTGAGAGTTTACCAATATCATAGGGAAATGATCTGTTTATTGCTCCTGACCAAAAACAATTTAGAAAGTTGTCTAGACAGTAGGGGAGAATCCTTTTTTCCCCCTTTCAACAACACTGAATGCTGGCAATGTGTTAAGATTAATGCTGTACTGGAATACTTAATTAAAAAGGAAAACAGCCTCAAGCTTTCAAAAAGTCTAGGAGGGAGGAACAAAAAGGTCTTAACACATATGAGTGAACATCAAGAATTGTATTTATAATTCTTGAGGAAAAAATTATACTTGGGGGACATTTCACCATTTGTTACTTAGGTGTATTCAGGAGTTGCTTTCCATGAGTTAGCTTAGTGTTGATGACATAACTGTCAAGGGGATTTCCTGAATGAGAAGGGAAATAACTCTGATAAAAGAAAAATGGTTAGATCTATGATCTAAAATTAGTGCTATGCCTCATCTGCTATATGGCATGGGCCAAGTCAATCTTCTTCCTCCATTTGTCTTAATATCTGCCACCCACCTATATTACAAAGATGTCAAACTAATAAGTTAACACTTGTGTTTGTTATATAAACAACTTGGATGAAGTTTTATATAAATCTAAAGCCCAATACTATATTATATTCTTTAGCTGAAAAAATTTTATTCTACAACAAATTTTTCTCAGGATCTCTCACTGACAATAGTTTTTCATTAACCCATGTAACAAATATTTATTGAGCACTTACTACATGCCAGGGACTATGCTATGACCTGGGAATAGGAGAGTATTTATAAGGAACACACCTGGTAAAACGGAAAAATTTTTTGTTGCAAGTTTGATGGTAGAAATTGCTAAGGACCAAACAGCTGGGATTGCAATTAGATCTTCAGAAAAGGGATTCCCTAAGGTGGTGATATTTAAGAGCTGAAGTTTAGTGAGCTGGGCAAAGGGCATAGAGAACAGGAAGCAGAAAGGCCCTGAATGGAGTTCAGTCCTGGAATAGAAGTTTGTGATCCTGAAATGGGGGAGGGAAGGGCTGTAAATAAATCAGAGCATAAAAGAAAATAGTGTAAGATGATCTCCTAAGCTATCATAAAGATTTGATTTTTACTCTCATGACATAGGGAGTCTAAGAAGGACTTTAAGCTGAGAAGAGATGAGATCTTTTAAAGGAAGTTTGACAACACTAACAATAAGGTTTCTGTAGATAATTAAAATTTTAACAAATCAAAGGAGCCTTTGGAAAATCAAATAGGCCATATTCGAAATCTCTAGTTGCCTAAGGGATGCCCATGACAAGAACCAGCTGTGACAGTTGCAAACTTACTACCAGATTTCCCCAGATATTCACAAGCCTCACCATTTTGATGCATATGGAAACCCTTCTATTTGGGCCAATTGCTTACTCTTCATTTCAACCTCGTGAAGCAGGTGGAACCGAGTGTCACCCCATCTTAAAGATGTGGAAACTAAGACTCAGAGCAGAATGAAGTCTCGCTCTCTAGACCAATCCTAAGACTCCTGGATGAAGTTCAGGGCACCAACATCCCACCTCCAGTCCCAACCTCTACCGGCAAGCCCATCTCCAGCGGACCCCACCCCAGAAGACAAATCAGTTAGACCCTCTGGCATCTACCCCACCCTCTGGCTATCGCTGGGTCCTACCCGCAGGTCTAATGCGCCCAGATTCAGATTGGGGGGGGGGGGGTTTGGGGAGAAGGCGGGTCCCGGCGGAAACTCCTGGCCGCGCCTTCCAGAGCCATGCGCTCCAGCCAGGGACTTAGCAGCCTTCGCCCCAAGGGAGGGCCGTGGAGTTTCTACCGCAACGCCCAGATCTGTCTGGGGGCGCGCAACGATGGGGCCTCGAGTGGGCCGGGGGCGCTTGCCGGGGGTAGGAGGCGCGCAAGGGAGCGGCAGCGTCTGGGTTCTAGCCTTCTTAGAAATACTCCGCCATTTCTCAATCAATAATTCCCCCACCACCGCAGTCCCGGAACCGCACTCGTGCCCACCGATCCACTCACAATTCCTTAATCAGCACCATCTTCCCGGAACCCCCACACAGCTGCCGCCGCTAACACCGCCGCCGCTACCGCCAGCCACGGCGCCTGCGCGGCACCGCCTCCCTGCTCCCCTGACCCAACGGGGCGCCTGCGCGGCCACACCCTTCCGCTGCGACCCGTCACGTCAGCGCGCGCGAGGAGCTAGCTCCGCCTTAGTCCCGCGCCCCACCCAGGCCGCGCGAGGCCTCACTGCGGCTGCGCCTCTGGCTAGAACGCATGCGGCTTCCAGTGCGGCTGCGCACTTTCTACGCGTGTTGTTCGCTAGTCTCCTACCAAAGGCTCCTCCTTCCACCCGAGTTCCCTCGGGATGTCCCTGCAGCCCAAGCTTCCTGGTGAGTTTTTCAGCTGGTTCCCTGGAAGTAGTTTTCTGGTGACGGATATCAGGTTTCCTCTTACGATGTGGAGAGAAGGTCCTTGTTACCTCTCACCTCACTTCCAAACGTCGGCGACGCCAAGTTCTATTAACTCTTCTGGCCCCTCAGATTTCTCAGGAAGAGGTTCATCTGGTCCACCTGGCTCACGTGTAAGGTCCAGAAGTCCACCACGCAGGGCTCATGAGCGTGGCCGCCTGACCGTGACTCACCTTGGTGTACCTACCTGTAGCTATACTACTTCCAACGCCTGAACCCAGGATCTCACAGTTGGCTCTGGACTCCACATCGAGGGCCATGGAACACCCTGTCTCCGCCCTGCTGGGGGAAAAGAGCAGCTTGCCCTAACACTCCGGGAAGGGACTTGGGCAAAGTTAGTCATAGTAAATGCCTCCCTCTAACTTGAGGCACCCATGCCCTGGCTCCAGCTGGAAAACCGAAAGGTGGACGTTAGTAGTCCAGGAATTACTCCATTCCGTGTCAGGTACAGCTAAGCACAGAGACAAAATAGTCACCGTTCCTGTTCTCCCGTGGAAATGGGAGAATTTGGCACCCTGGCAAGTGCTGTGCTGTAAATAATACTAAAAGGAGGGAGGCAGAGTAATCAAAAGAAAGAATCTCTGAGGAGGCTCAATGTGTGGGGAGTGTTCTAAACAAACCCGCTCCTGTTAGAGGAAAACATAGCCTCAAGCTTGAATAAACTTAAGAGTGTTTGAGCAACAGGTAGAGGGGCAGGTGTGGCTAGAACTTTTCAAATGAGAAAGAATTGATTGATCCTAAATTGATCACTAGGCCCAATAGAGTTGGAGTTGTGAAAAGCATAGGAAGCTGTTGAAAGGTAATTAAGAGAATAAAAATAGAGAACACTTATATATAAATCTATATGGTATATCTGATACTGTAATACAAGCCGTTAGCCTCCAAAAAAAAGGGGAATGAAAGAGTTGCCAAAAAGCTGAGACTTCTCCCAAGGCAGTCCCTGAATTCACTGAGTTTCTGTAATGTGTGAAGCACTGTGATGGGAAGGACTCAAGGAAACCCATACTTTTAGTTTCAGGAATCTTCAAAGCTGGGATTATGTTGGAAACATGCCAGGTTGAGTGCTGGGGAACAAAAAAGCTCATTGCCCTTAGAGCAACATTTTGAGGTAGGTATGGTTTAGAAACAGCATAAAGTGAAATTTGGAGAGCCGCTAAGTGACTTTTACAAAAATCACTCAATTTGTTTACAAAACCAGGTTTCAAATCCAGGCTTTAAAAACCTCAAACAGCTGATCATTTCAGTACATTGACTTTTTTTCTAGCTAGGAGCAAAAAAAAAAAAAAGTTGAGGCATGCATATATTTTATAGCAAAGACCAGTTTTCCGTTGTGGGGAAAATGGGGTTTTGACCAAAATCTATCGGTATTTAGAGAAACTACACAGTTGAGTACTGTATCTCTTTTTCTGGTCAAATTTCAGTGATTTGCTGATCATTTACATAATTAAACTTTGGGAGTACAACTTCACATCCCCTTATGTGCACATTTCACACACCTTCCAACAAAGCTCCACTGCCTTATCCTGTACCCTTCCCCCAGCCCTCATCCCTTCTGGTCATCACTTGTTTTCACAGAATCCGGAAGTTTTTTGTGTGTGTTTGTCATTTTGTTTTGTTGTCTTTGGAATACTTATGTTCTGCAAATGAGTGAAACCATTTGGGTCTTGCAGTTTCTGGCGTATTCCCTAGTTACCTCAGATTGCATCCATTTTGACCAAAAGGCACTATTTCATATTTTTAAGTAGTTGAGTAGTATTCTATTGAGCATATACATCACAATCTCTCTATCCCATCATCCGTTGTTATTCTTATCTTGGCTATTGTGAGTGGTACTGTGGTGAACTAGGCATGCATAAATCTGTTTTGTATTAGTGTTTTCATATTCTTTGGGTAAATACCTAGAAATGGCATAGGTGAGTCATGTTTTGTCCCAACTTCTGTGACCTGCGGCAAGAAAGAAAGGCGGGAGGCAGAAAGGCTGAGTGAGCAAGCAGAGTTTATTGCTCCTGGGCAGCAGCTGAGACGGAGCCCCTAGATTGGGGTCCGCAGCTACTGCCAGCCCTATAAGGGGGGAAGGGTCTCATATAGATTCTAAGCTCAGGTTCCAAAGGGGTGACTCATCCCTGTGTCCCTTGATGTAAGGCCCAGTTCGTTATCACCTTCATCCTGGATACAAGGCCCAGTTTATTACCGCCTTATCACCCTTGGATGCAAGGCCTAATTTATTACTGCCCTTATCCAGTCCCTCAGTAAATCTCCGCACTTGTTCACTCCCAGCAAGTCATATGGCACTTTCATTTTTAGTTTTTTTGAGGAGTCTCCATACTATTTTCCTTAGAGAGTGCACAATTGATATTCCTTTGACAGTGAAGGAGTGTTCTCTTTATCTGATCCCCATCCTCATTGTTATGTTTCCAGGCTTTTTGATACAGGCCATTCTCACACAGGTGATATTTCATTGCGGTTTTGATTTGCATCTACCTTAAACTACGTGATGTTGAGCTTTTTTCATGTGCTGGTGAACATTCTGTATGCTTTAGAGAAGTGTCAATTTAGGTCTTTTGTCTGTTTTTAGATTGTATTGGTGGTGGTTTTGTTGTTATTTGAATTCTTTATATTATATTTTGGAAATTAATCCCTTGTCAAATGTGCCATGTGAGATGCCACATTGGAGGTTGGAGCTTTCATGGTTGATGTAATCTTGTTTATTTTTCTTTCCATTTGTTACCATTGAAATCTACAAAATGCAGTCGAAGAGACTGTCCCCCATGTTTTCATGTATGCAGTTTTTGGTTTTAGGTTTTGTATCCAAACCTTAAATTAATTTTGAACTATTTTTTGTGTATGAATTTAAATGATGTAGCTGCACATTTTTTACATATGACTATCCAGGTTCCCAGTACTGTTACAGGGCAGGGAGAGAGGGACTCGCCTAAACCCCCAAACCTGCTGCCATCTACCACATCAAGACAAAAAATGTAAGACTTTAATGAAAAGGAACTTTAATACTGTGAGCATACAACACAGAAGACAAAGAGTATAATTTCTAAATCAAACACCTGAAGTAACCCATCCCCTCGTGGGCAAAAGTCCACCCAAAAGGGATTGACCCAAAGCAAGGCCTGAAAGCCTGCCACAAGACTAAAGCACCTTCTGGCTGGGACCAATAGAAAAGGGTCGGAAATGGACAGACAAATCTGGGAGGAAAAGAGCACAATCAAAACTAAGATAAAAGCTGTCATAGTCACTCTCCCCACAGGTCTCTCACCCTTATCTGTTTCAACCAGCACAGGGCCGAGAAACAAGCACGGTTTCTTCATCCTATGCTCTCCGATCCATGTGGCTTCCTCAGGTCTCCTGGCTCTCCATCCTACTTCCTTCCTCTTCAGATTCCTTCTCTTCTCTGCTCAGCTCCACCCTCCTTCGTGGGACTGGGAACCTGGAACCTCCCCTTTTCCTTGGGACCACCCTGTTTCAATACCACTTATACCACTTTCTCCATTGTATGTTCATGATACCATTGTCATAGTTTAAGTGTCTGTATTAGTATGGGTTTATTTCTAGACTTTCTGTTGGCATATTGTTTCTGTTTCAACCTCATACTATCTTGGTTACTCTTGCTTTGTAGTGGAGATTGAAATCAGGGGATATGATATCTCCATTTCTCTTTATTCTCAAGTTTGCTTTTGCTGCCAAGGGCCTTTCAGTAAAATATGCATTCAAATTTTATAATTGTTCTATTTCCTTGGAAAATGTCGTTGGGTCGTGTATTGCATTCAATTTATAAATTGCTTTAACTAATAAGGCCATTTATCAATGTTTATTTTTAACAATCCTTAAGCATAGACTATCTTTCTATTTCTGTATGCCTTATTTCTTTTGACAGCATCTTACAGTTTTCAGTGTATAGGTCATTTACCTCCTTTGTTAAGTTTATTGCCAGGGCCTGAATACAAGATGGCTGTGCTCTTGTTGAGATATGTTGGCTGTCATTACTTTTGTGCCCATCTTAATCCTCAGATCTACAACAGAAATAATGTTCCTTTGAGAACCACAGCCAAAGAAGAAATGGAGAGGTTTTGGAATAAGAAACACTGATTCTGAAACTGAAGGCCCTCCCTGGGGGCTCCGGTGCTTGGCCCCAGAACACTGTTTGCGATAATGTAAGCAGTGTCTGATGGGCTTTTCACAGACCATCACCAGTGGCCCCACTGGGGCTCAGACTTCTCGCAATGGTCTGCAGTGGTTCTACTAGCATATCACCCTAGAGCGTGCAGCCCCTGTGTCCCCCCCCCCCCCAACTCACACACACAGGACAAGCTCCAGTACTTTGGCTCCTTAAGCTGTAGTCAGTAGAAAGGCCCATGGGTTTGGTGCCTAGATTGTGGAATGGAACGAACAGGTGTGAGCTATGAGCGATTGGTAAATGTTCCATTCAGTTCATAGGACTGAAACTGGTCCAATCAGATTGGTAGGGAGGGGGCTCGGAGTGAGGAGATAAAGCAAGGCAGAAGCCAGCTCAGAGGACCTGCTCTCTGGCTGCATTCCGCTTGAGGAATGTGTGGCTGCACTTGTGCACTCTGAGACTCGCTTGGACAGGACTCACTTGGGACACTTTGGACTGGACATGTGCTCACTTGGACTGTGCTCAGAAGTATCCCGCAGTTATCCTCCAAGGGA